CTCCTTAATTCATCGCAGTGGGCATTGATGTATGTAAATTACGAGTCGTTTATTAAAAAGCGCCACGGTACAGATCTCTCGTACCGAGTTTCGGTTGGTACGATCGAGCCATAAAAGATAACTTCCGATCGCGAGAGAGCTGCATTATCGACCGCCGCTTGCAATAAAATCGGCTGGCGCCGTAACGATGCATGATAAAATAAACATTTTTGAAAAGCACGGGATACTTTACGTAAACGTAAATTGACAAATCGTTGATTTTGTTATTAATAACAGACGTCGATACGTTGAGAAGTAGTTATTTCAAATTTTCAATCGTGATTTGTAAACATCATTAAGATCGAATTTAAGTTCGTCGGTTCAATGTTTATTGTGGAAAGATCAATCGTCGATGAAATTTCAAACGGGAAACATGGATTCGAGCGGTGTATTCAGTTATCCTGTCAGGTAATTTTAACTTTACGAGAACGAGAATGAAATATTATAGAATGTTAATTAATCTTGTTGGAGTTAATTTCAGAGTTAAGGAGGAACCTTTTGATATGTCGTTCATTGAAAATGAAATGATTGACACGAAACCCGATATAAAAGATGTCCAATTATCGACATTTCTGCGAGAAAATTCAGTAAGAATCGATAATTATTTGAAATAATACGATAAGCTTACAAACTTTTTTTACAGAAATGTCCATGTAATTTTATAAATTGTATTACAGGCTGATGAGCTTCGAAAATGTAACCGAAATCGAGCACTTGACGACGAAATTCAAATAGAATTTCAATGCAAAGACATGAAGCCGAATATGAGTTTATTCGCAGATAAGAAAATTGGCAATTATTCGCCATCATATTTGGACAATTTTAAAAATATCGATGAATATAAAACTGAAAACATGATTAATTTAAAAATTGTGGACGGAATGAAAAAAGAAGTTTTTAGTGACGTTGTCGCAAAATTGAGTTCGAATTCCAACTGTGACATAAGTGAGCAAAATAAGAAAGGAGCTACGAAAAAAAGGAATGGCACACGTAGACTCAAGGCACACATCGATGTAATGCATAGTGTTATTACCTACACTTGTAGTACGTGTGGAAAAACGTTTCAACACAAGAAAAGTCTCGAAGCTCACATCGATGCGGTGCATAATGGTATCACCTACACTTGTGACACGTGTGGAAAAACGTTTCAATACAAGAAAAGTCTCGAAGCTCACATCGATGCGGTGCATAATGGTATCACCTACACTTGTAATACGTGTGGAAAAACATTTCAATGCAAGAGATATCTCAAAGTTCACATCGATGCGATGCATAATGGTATCACTCATGCATGTGATATTTGCGGCAAGATATTCACACATAAGCCAAGTCTCCACGTCCACATCAAATCTTTTCATAATGGTATTAGATATCCATGTGATATTTGCGGAAGATATTCACACACAAGGCAAATCTTCACGTCCACATCAAATCTTTTCATAATGGTATTAGATATCCATGTGATATTTGCGGAAAGAAATTAACAAGCAAATTTAATCTGAGAAGCCACATCGATTCGGTACATAATAATATCAAACAAACATGTCGATGTGGAAAGTCATTCTCACGAAAAACTTCTCTTAAAAGGCACATCGATAGAGATAATTGTAGCAACAGAAATAAATGCGACAGATGCGGAAAAATATTCATACAGAAGAACCGCCTTCAAAACCACATAGATAAAGTGCATCACGCATTGTGACTTGATAAATGTATAAAATAAAATTGATGTTCAATAAGGTTTCAATAGGATTTAAAATTGCTACGTAAGATATAATGTATTTTTCCTTTATAACTGTTCAATATAAATTGAGCATTGTACTAATTATTTTTTAATTCATAAAACGTTCACGAAAAAGGAAATGAGAATGTAATTTTTTTTTTGTCAAACTATCGTTGATTTTTGTACAAAAAAATCAGTTGATTGGTGCGATACACTAATCTTTTTTTCCTGCGATTATTAAAACACACAAAGAAAGTGAATTTCCGCGACTCAACGTTGCATTAAATACATAATTCGTGTGTCTATGAAATTACACTTCTACAATTACGCAGTAATCGGATAAGATCGGGAAAATCAATTTTCCCCGCCACACGAGTCAGCGTGAGAGCGAAATAATTAGGTCTATATAAAGTTCAAGTTGTCGTGTTTCACGTCCATTAAAGCACAACGTCGAACGGTCGAACTGCCAACATAATAAAAGATCGAGAATCGTTACGTAAAAGATTGAGGAAAGTACATTATTTGATTATGAAGTATTTCGGCGCCCGATATGAGAATTTGCATTTTATTATATTTTTAGCGCTTTTGACAGTATCTGAGAAAATTATTTCAGGTCAAATTCTTTTAACTGCAACTGCCGCTCTTTTCAATTTAGAATTTCGTTTTTCGTCTGGAAGCTTTGATACCCTATAGTAGAATTCTTCACATTATTACGGGGGCCCGTATATGTGACTTGATTGTCGTTATCATTATCGAGAAAGTCTCTCTCTCTCTCTCTCTCTCTCTCTCTACTCGGAAAAGTTTCTCTCGCGAATATCGCGCGACTTTCCACGCGTTTTATTTTTTTGCAGCAAAAATCTTCTATAATTATCGCCACGTACGAGAAGCTCTCGCGCACGCGCGCGGACTCGAATTTCGCCGGAATCATCGAGAAACGACGTTCCCTCGATCGTCGCGCGCGTCTTGTTGACATAGCAAAAGTTGATACACCAACACACGTAGTGTCGTTGATTATTATTATTTTTTTACTCTCTTAATTTTCGATCGAGTTTCTAGTGTATATATACCGCTGCTGCTGCTGCAGCTGCGTATGGGACTTCTCGCCGTGGATGTTTATATGGTAGCGTTACGGCGTTTTATAGCCTATAATAACGGTATATTATACACTCTAGCTGCGCGACGTTCTGTGCGTATGTGTCGCAGCGGACTTCGATGTGGTATGTACGTCCATATATTATATCCTCGCGAGCGCGCGGGAAGCCACGGAGACGCGTATCGACTGTGCGAGTACTTATACTACGCGATGACAACGAGATCGAGTACACACAATGCAGCAGCGGAAAAACTGTTGAACGCCGCGACACAGCAGTAGCGGAAAAACCGGTACGCGTGACCGATTCCCTTGTGACGAGGCGTCGTCCTCGTCGCAATAGTAGCACGTGAATCGGCACTTTGACTATAAATATACGTATACACTGCAATGTTTATAACAAACGATTGAATAGAGTAAAAAAGAGAGAGCTGCAGTGTATATATACGGCACTTGTATTGCTGCAATTAAATGCATTACGTCGCCCGAGAAGACGCGCGTATAATATGTATACCAGATTAGTCGAGCGCGATAAGGGCGGAGATTTCGTAGAAATCGAAAGGACGTTATACACTGTATTATACGCAACGATATTATTATTATTACATTACCTGGGATGTATTCATAATATATATAGAATACAGGTAATGAATATAATAGGAGGTAAACCGCGCCTGTGTGTATAGATATTATGTGCGCGCATCGCACAGAAAATATAATTACCTCATTCTCACGGAAGAAGCGCACACAGCACAGAGAGAGAGAGAGGAAAACATAGAGAGTGAGAAAAGTGAGAAGCTCGTGTATAGGTATATAGATATTCTGTTGCAGGTAATGAGAGAGTTTGCCGCTGCCACTGCTGTATAACAGCCATAACACCACCAGTCACCACCACCGACCGACCGACCGGCGCAACAACCGGCGGCGTGTTACATCAGTAAATAATTATGTCTAGGCGAAAGTTTAATGACTTTTATGTTATCTCTCTCTCCTTTCTGCAGCTTCTCCTCTCTATTGTGTATCAATTATTTTAATCGTTCGGCGGCTGCTGCGGCGTTTATTGCAATCTCTCGAATCATCATCGTCATCATCGTTGCTGACTATCTCGCGGCAAGAAATCGATTGGACACACGTCTCTCGACCTCCCGTCGCTCTATAAAGACTTTGTGCGCTAAGAAAATCTGGGTCAACGCATAGAGGCATGCACCTCTTAAGCTAAAAAGAGAGAGAGAGAGAGACAATTTATCACCAAGCTCGCGGGACGAAACGAGAGCATCTCGCGGTGCATATATATCTGTAGCGATATACGTTATATTTCCTGCCTCGAATGTCTTGCGGGGACGATCAGCGCCGCTGCGCTTTAAAAGCTTTTAAATGTATATACACACAAAAGAGACAACAAGTGTCTCGGCGCTGCGCACGAGTGTATTAGAAGCGATACGCTTCGTTGCGATTCGTATTGTACGTATACCGCATCGTTGTTGCCTGTGTCGCAAATGCAAAATGTGACGTGCGAAAAGTGCTCACTGACAACGCAGAGCTGAATGCGGTTCTTTTCTCTATCTCTCTCTCTCGACCGCGAAGCTGATTTGCTTATGGTATGGGCCAGACACGCTTTTTTGCACGCGAAGATCAGTTTTTTGTATGTTATACGGCGTCCAGCTGTTTTATACATTCTGTTGTGTACATACACGTGCATCAATGAAATGGATAAAAGCCAAGTCGTCCATGTCGCTGCGAAAATCGACTCTCTCGAATAAACTATGCGGATCCTATGTAGTTGTACATCGACGAGGAAACGATAATCAAAGAAAGAGAGTATGACGCGCCGTTGTACGTGCGCGGGGTCGGCACAAATGGATGGCTTTAGGTCAGGCACTGCTGCCTACCTACATATAGTACATACTGCTGTGTGTAACACACAAAACACGTACATTTACATTACATACACATAGACAAAAGCTCAGCACGTGAACTTCATCACGCGAGCAACATCAGCAGCAGCACATAATGTAATGCAGGGAAACGAGGAAAAAAATCGATATCAGGCCAGGACTGCGTGTCCCGGCCGATCGCACGTCTCTGATATAACGTATATAAGTGAGTCGCCATGTGTGTAGAAATAGTATAGTAGATATATAAACTCACCCTATTCTGATGGAAGCGTAGGCTGCCCGAGCGACGCAGGGTTCCGCCGCGTATGTTGGCCTGGGCCAATTCGATTTTGTGGCCGTCGCTGCCGCTGCGCCGCGACAGCTCCGACAATTCGGCCACCGGCTGTACCTGCAAAAGAAGAAGACGGAGAAAAATTAGGTTCAAGTACACACGCGTTGAAAATACGTTGTTGCATTAGCGGGTCAGTGAGGCATGACACGAAAACGACGAACCCTATACGTGCATCGTAATGCAGCAGCAAAAAAAGCAGGATTTTTTTGCTTTGTCATACAGGTGTGGGTGTGCAGCACACGTATTATCGAGCCCCCGTTCGTAACGTGCACGCATTATTAGCTCGTGTGCGTATGTACGTGGTTTTTATGCGTATAAGGAGACATTTCGACACGCCCTTCCGCAATGCGCGTACGTTATATCTATATACGTTTTTATACGCGTCGTTATCTCTCTTCCTTTCTCGTTGTGTCCCGTGCCAATATTTGCCTTGACTTCCTGTTTCCCGAGCACAGAGAGAGAGAGAGAGAGAGAGAGAGTCCCGATGATCTGATTTCGACGTACGTAAGCAAGGTATACTATATAATACGTTTGTGTACAGCTGAATCTTCATAAAAATAATACGCCTGTTTATTAGACTGCCACTGGACTGAGCCACACGCGCGAAGAAAACAAAGACGCTACGAGCCAAAGCGTCAGCTCGGGGCATCGAGTGCACGCGATCGGGGTATCAAGTAAATATGATGAGCATTACTATTATTTATACCGTAACAGTACTGCAGTTGTGCAATTCTATACGGCTAGCCCCCATATGAGACGTTTTATCGTAAATCTCGAGAAGCTATGTGATCGAGGCTGCTATATATACGATGGTCGCGCGAATGTCCGCGAGTTATACTTTCGTTTTATTAAAGCTGATTACAAGAGACAGTTGCGGTTGCGCAGCGATAAATAATAACGTATATGGATATATGCCTTCGCGCCACACCTCGAGTTCGATACGTTTTTTTTTTTTCTTTCAGTCTTCTTATTCATTGCCGACGTCGAGCGTAGCGCGCCCGTACGGTGCACTTTTCGCGATGAAAAATACCTACGCACCCGACGTTTATCCTAGACGCGTGAGTAATATACACACGCCCGACGTAATGAGAGAGAATGTTTAGACGCTGCTGCTGTACACGCGAAAGGCGAGGAAGAAGAAAGTTCGCTCGTTATTAAGCGCGAAAAACAAAACGCAGTTTCGATACTGCTCCGCTCCACGCCATTGCAGGTGTGCGATACATCATCGTAATATAAGTTGATCGAAATAATCGAACAATATACCATCTCGTGTAGCGCACGCACCGAATAACGAAAGTACAGCTCCGATTTTTTTTTTGTCTTCTCCACTTTTTTGAGAATTTTCGCACGCGGAGAAAAGCCAATGAGAACAAAGAAGCGATTCCTGTGCGTGTATATAGCGCGTATACACGGTAGTGTATTAATAAGCCCGCGCGTATGATTGGTGAATAATAATCCATGGTACCCAAAAATTCTAGACAATGGGTGTCTACCCGGAGAAATTGTGATTTTCTATACCATGAAGCACGCGATGCGTTATTTATCAATTCGCGTATACGTGCGTACAATACACGGTAGTCCGCCGAAAACTCGCGTACGCACGACGTTAACGAGCTTTTCACGCTCGTTTATGTTCTCTTTTTTCCTCTCTTCGTGTAAAGTACATCGTGAGCCGCGAGAGGTTTTTTTTGTACACAATTGGTTACGCTCGTTTGCAAAAAAAAAAAGAAAAGGAGGAAAAAAAATAACGAGCGAGCACTCTCGCGGTGTCTCTTTAAGCACGCGTTTATATTTAAAATGTACACGTGTTTTTTGTCCCACGCTTGTATATGTAATGAATATATACGGTGGTAATGCGCAGCTCTGTACTCTCGACTCGCGCTTGGAGCAGACGAATATATGTATTTTAACGCTTACTTTGAGCCTCGGCGGTTTTTTGCCTACTTATAATACGTATACGCGCGCGCGTGTGTGTTTTCTAATTGCACGAGACAAGTGTCTGACTGCTGCTGCTGCTGCTATATATTACGACAAACGTTGAAAACCGACTCGTTTTAGTCGCGCCGCGAGTGCGCACCGAAAATTAACCGTAAACTTTGTATATTTCACGCTCAAAGCTTTGCGCTCGCAGCGAAAAAAAGAGAGAGAAAATCGAGTTGTGTATACAGCGTAAGCTCGTGATTACGTTGTGAGCTTAATGTTTGACGCACATTGTCCGACGTAAAAGTTTGGAGTTTCACCTTTATGTACGTACGCGAGCTTTTGTGCAGATAGAAAATGAAAATAAACGAGGAGAGCAACAGCAGCGGATATCGAATGAATAACACAAAATGTTATTGGAGATAGAATTAACAAAAAGAAAAACTCAACAAATCTCCGCATTGTTCGAAAAATTCAACAACTATGTATAAAATAGAGACTTTACAAATTTCGCGCGAGTATTGTATCAAAACATTTCAAATCGCTAAAGCTTAATAACACACTCGAGAAATCTCTAGACCCGCATACAAGAGGGTTGTTAATTCCTCGAAAGATAAAGTATATATCCGATGCAAAGACAGTGCGGTTCGGTTAAGATGCAGAGCTTACGTAAACAAGCTGTTGCACATATAGCTAAGCCATGGCATGAGCAGCAGCCACTACACATTATCTCGCGCTTCTCAAACTCGAGTATCCTACTACTAGTCCCGACCACATCCACTTATTGAGCTTTCGTTGTCGTCGGAAGTTTATCTTTTGACGCGCGCTTGCAAGTTCGATCAATTAGCGCGTTTACAACAGCCGTGCTATGCACTCTTTATGTACAAGCTCGGTAAACAGTGTCTGACAGCTCTCGCAACAAAAAAAAAAAGATATGACAATAAGCACGCATTTACATGTGAGACGCATTGTCGAGGTCTCGGGTATATATAACAAATAATGTATACACGAAGAGTCAGGCCGGCCCACGGGCTTTTTTCAATGATTAGCGGTATACACATACGTGGCGCTTATTATAAGCAGCTCGCTCGTTCGCGCGCATACATTGCTCGACGCACTGCATACTTATGCACACACATACCTACACACATGGATAATACTGCTGTACAGTCACGTAAAAAGAAGGACCGGTTCGCGCTATAAGTATAACGGCAAAAAGAAAAAGTCCGCGCAGGATATTATGGGTGGATCCCTCTGCCTACCTACATATATATATGCCCGACGCGAACGAAGTGCTCTTTCTCCGTCTCTCTCTCGCGAGTGCGCGCAACTATTTCAAGGCCACCGCCCTCGAGAAACAGAGAGAGAGAGAGAGAGAGACTCGGGCAGCTCGACGCGCTTCTTCTTCGCCCGATGCAGCAGCGTGCTGCTGCTGCTCCTCTTATTAGCGCGAGCGCGCGCGCGGCCAGACGAATATTCCGCTCTGTGCCGAGGAGAGCTTTGGAATTTCGATCCTTTTTTTTTCTTCTCTCCTTTTCTTTTTAGCGCCTGCGCTGCTGTAGCGCGTTCAAAACATCGATGAGAGTGTCTCTCTCTCTCTTTCTCTTGTATATATGCACGATGATATTCAACTCCCCGAGCTGCGCAGAAAAAGCTTCTTTTCTTTTTTTATTACAGTAACATTTATGCATACGCGATCGCGAGATGGAGAATTGATAGAATCGTTCCTGCGCTTGATTAGCTTTTACGACCGCTGCCCTCGGGATGAGTTATTCGCGTTTTCGTTATACGTATACGCGAGGCATCCCGAAAAGAATTACAGCCATCAGGCGCGCGCGCGACGTCTTATACGAGAGTATCGCGAATAAACGCGTGACACTTTTCAGCCTACGTCGTCGTTGTCGTCGTTGTCGTTGTCGTCTTCTCAGCCCGTATTAATCGACTTGTTTATGAATATATACGCGCAAGCACATATCGTAGCGGTACCTTTTTTTAATAGCGCCGTATATCTCTCTCTCTCTCCCCGAAATCGTAAAAATTTTTATTTTCCTTACACATTTTTTCATATTCAACTTTTCATTGCGCGCATCTTTCTTTCTCTCTCACTGCTCGCTCGCTGCGAGAGACTGATTTATCCCGAAATTTTTATATATTATACGCCCGCGACGACGACGACGACGACGTTGATTCGCGCGTGGAGCGCATGTAAACAAATTGCGTAAAACGTTATACCTATGCAGAGCTCTCAACGTGCAGCGGCAGGAAACATGCGCAGGCGAGACGCTATCTCGCTACTTCACGGCCTCGTGAGCTCGCGCGCCCGCGTTATCCTATACATACGTACATGTTTATAATAATAACAATAACAGTATATGTGTACGAGTTCAAGTCACGCCGCGGTATGTATAGTAAAACGCGTGTGTGTACATTCAACTTCTCTCAAATCCTTTCCCGCGACTATATAGAAGGAATCACTTTTCTTTCTGGGCACTTTTTTTCAACACGGCTGATTCCTTGGCGCCTTTCACCGGTCTCTTCGTATAATACGCGTCGATGTGTATATCTATAGACAGAGTTGCAGTCGAGAGTTAAGAAATCGACGTCGTTTAACGACCTACAATTAACAGGCCGGAAGAATATAAAACTTGGCAACGGGAAAGTGAATGAAAATCGCACAAATATACAGCTCCGACGCTATGTGCCGTTGTGTGTACACATAAACACGAGCACGTGGTTCTTCGTCGTCGTCGTCGTCGTCGGTCGTCGTGCATGCGTGCACGCCTGTGCCACTGACCTTTACGGTAACGCTGCCGCTCGAGCCCTTGATCAGATCGATGATCTCCTCTCGCGCCATCTCGTCGACGTTGACGCCGTTGACCTCGATGAGCCGATCGCCGGGCAGCAGGCCCGTGTCGTTGCAGTTCTGCACGATGGCACCGGGCTCGGCGAATATCACTGGCTTCATCTGGGTGACGGTCGTGGAGCAGCCGCCGATCCCGAGGCCGGACGTTCTCTCGACCACCACCGCGCGCCTCAGCGAGAAGCCGAAGTCGGAGCGCGGCGGCGGCTGACGTTGAATGACCAGCTCGCGCGGCTCCGGCAGCTCCAGGGGCGAGATCTCGGGCAGCGGCAGCTCGGCCACGCCCTGCTCCTCGAACGAGCCGCTGGAGCGCCAGCGCGAAAAGCCCTGCGACTCGCCGACCGGCGACAGGCTGAAGGGCGGAGTAGCGAAGCTCGAGTTGGTCGTGTCCGTGAGCGAGTCCGCCGATGGGCTCGCGCTGGTCATGACCTGTGGAAAATTCGTCGTGTCAATTTTCCATTTGCAAATGTGTAATATACATTAAAGAGAGCGACGATGTAACTTACGTGCAATAATCGGGTGTCCTGCTGACCGACGTACTGATTCGGGCTGATGCCTCGTCGCAGCACCTGATTACTGAACTCCTCCTCGCTGTACACCATCTGCAGCTCGTCGCGGCTCTCCGAGGCGCTCATGCTGCTGCTCTTGTTCAGCGGCAGATTCTGGTAGGCTATCACCTCGTTCTGCTGGGTGTTCCTCTGCAGCAGATTGTTCTCGCTCGGTGCCGGCAGCGGATGTTGTTGAAGATGATGATGCGAATGCGGCTGCTGCTGATGATGATGAGGATGATGATGATGATTATTGTCGCCGTTGTGACTGGCCGTGGGCGAGAGGGAACCCGGGTCGACGCTCAGCCTAGGTCCCTTCAGGATGCCGCGCTTCGGTGGCTTGGGCGGCAGCGGCGGCAGATTGGGCTTGCCGTTGTTGCTCAGCGACGTGAGCGACGCCTCCGACGAGTCCGACTGCGGGCCCGGATGATGCATGACGATGCTGTGCCCGATGCCGCTGGTGCTGCTGCTACCGCCGCTCAGCATGGAGACGGAATTGTTGATGGTGGTGTTGGCCGTGGACTTGTGCACGTCGTCCAGTACGTCCCGGTCGAGCTGGGCGAAGAACGAGGCGCTGTAGTCGGCGGTGATGCCGCTCGGCAGCTTTTCCTTCTCCTTGCGCCGGCTGCGTATCTTCAGCGATCTCCGCATCTGTTCGGAAACACCCGAGTCGCGTGACTTTTTTTTTTGGTAAAAGAGACATAGGGCAGATAGAGATAGATATTATTAGAGATTATTATTTTATATCAAAAGGATCGGATATGGACGGCACGCAGTGCGCTGTGATGATGACGATGACAGAAGAAATAGCCCTAATTAAGACTGCGACGGTAATGAAAAAATATATATTATGACTCACACACAAGAGACAGAGTGGATGATAATTACAGCGCGAATAATAACGCGGCATTGTTACGTTTATATTAAGTATATGAGTCGACCGGCAGACACTGCTCTACTCGTCGTCGTCGAGGCGAGCTGGCTCTTTTTTTTTTTTAGTTTCGATAGGATATATTTACGTTAGAAGAAAGAGAGAGTAAGCGAGACGCACCACATTTAGAAGCCGGTCCCAGAAATTGGCTAGTATTTTTAACATCCACGATCGCTGGATATATATTTCGCTATCGCGTGTAGTACCCTCGACTCGGACAACAATAAAACACGCGTTTTTGTATAGGTTATATTTACGCGTTACGTATTTTTTATTATTTAAAAACTGAATTACGCGGCTGTATAAATCCGAGCACACGTGTTTTATAATATAACACGGCGCGCGAAAACTAAAGTTATTTTGGATGCGCGCGCGCGAACACAATGCGCGTGGTGAAGAGATTTTTTTTTTTTTTAAATCGTCGTCGACGTTTACTGCCGCGCTGCCGTGTTGTTGTTCTTCGAAAATTTCGAAGTTTTAATGAAATATCGTTTATGACTTCGGCCTTTTAACGGCTTCTTTCGCGAGAAAACCGAAAAAAACCTAAGCGAGAGAGAGAGAGAGAGACGGAGCGGCGCGACGCTATGCAGCCCGACAACAACACATAATCGATCGGAACTCGGGAGATAATTACAAGGGGGATGAAGAGATGAAACAACAACGAAAAACGCAACAAAAAAATAAATAAATAAAGAGCGCAGAGTCTCCGAAGGCATCAATCAGCAGCAACCGAAGAAGCCACAAGAGCCGAGGAAAAATGCTGCATTATATATATTTCTCACCTCGTCGAGTCGTAATAATTCCTCGGCGGACATGCTGCTGCGATCCCTTTTCTTCACGTCCTTCTTTTCGCGTTTCTCGCGTTTTCTCTTCTCCTTCTCCTCCTTCTCGGTGGTCTTCTTCATGAAATTGAACATTTTCACCAGGTCGATCTCTTCCTTTTCTTTTTTTGCAATATACAGCACTCGCGCGCGAAAAAGAGGATGAAAGACAAAACTCTAACTATACACTACGCACAATTTTGCTTTTATTCTCTTGAACCTCGATGATTATTATAGACACCACACAACACTGTTTGCCGGCACAACATACAACACTTATTCGTAATCAGCTGTTTCTCTTTTTTATACACGTACAATAATTATATTTCACAATGATTAAAACTTTTTCGTTCAGCAGCACCTCACTCGAGTCCGGAAACGCTCCATCTAGGAAGTTTCGTCAGTTTTACGAGGAGTAGTAGTAGTCGTGCTCTAACAATACGTAAAGCTGCTGCGGTTTCGCGGCGACCTCATCGGCGACTGATACTGTTGCTGCTACTGTCGTTGCCGTTGCTCTCGATGAGGACAGAGCGTATACCGGCATCTCTCTCGGCCAGGTGGATTCCGATGCGGCGCGGCCTTCGTTGCGTGCGTAATTCCAAAAATCTATATTTATCAGCTGATACATAGATTTTACGGAGGCCCAAAAGTCGAAGATGACGAATTCACTCGCGATTGATGATTACGATCTGCGAAACGAAAGAAAGAAAGAATTATTGAAGTATAATGTGAATTTGTTGTTTTTTTATTATTACTACAATGCTTAGAATTTATGAGTGAAAAAAAATAAGATAATTGCAAGCGACGATAAGTCGTGGCCGAGGTCGAAGCGTGCCGCGAACATTCGCGTTTATTATCGCGTTCGTCAAACACTTGACGAAAAAGAAAACGTGTCGAGTGGCTATACGAAGCCTCTAATTTTTCGTCCACTAATACACATGTACACAATAATAAATGTATGTACGGCGTATAACAGACACGCATACACATGCACACGCTCTGGCGTTTATTCGCGGAATGTGATAATGACACTCCAATTATACCCATCATCGGACTTTGCACACGAACGCGTGTGTGTGTGGCTTCGACAGACGGTGTGCTGCAGGTATAATAAGAGGAAGAAAGAGACGTCTATTATATTATGCGCCCAGCGTGTAGTAGGTATTGAAGAAAAAGAGAAGAAAACATTGCCTATTGATTTCATTCAAAGAGCGTCAATCATCGCCACGTCCGTGGTGCTCGTCGTCTTCGGGCCTCTTCTTTCGAGGCAAAACAAAAGACGATCGATGACCGACAGTAATATAGAGATACACTTATACGCACATCGTCGTCTTCGCGAAGAAATAAGAGTCGTATTAAATAGTGGCGTGTGAGCTTTTGTTGAAAGCCGTGTAACGTGTGTAATATATAGGTAACACACCATGCCCAACAACGTGCACAGTACTGTGCGCCGAGGATTTAAAAAAAACAAAACAAAACAAAAGAGTCATAGAAAGGAGTAGAGATGATAACAGAGCAAGTAGGAAGCGAAGAATCACAAGCACACGATGTCGAGGTGAGAAGAAAATATACCAGAAAAAATTCGTACGCAAGTATCGAACTCTGCGCTCTAAACGGCTGACAAATAATATAGGTTGGCCTGCACAGAGAGCTGCTCCGATATCAAATCTCTCTGTCAGGCACCAGTGAGCGAGGCGAGACCTAACCTCTATATCCTCGACGTTTTAACATATACACAAATATGTATACGGGATGGCACACAGCACACAGAACACACACGTATATACGAAGTAAATATACAGTCCGACTCCGATATAGAAAATATATATAACAAACTTGGCATTCCTCGCTGCACACAGAGAGTGCTTTAAAAAGGTGAACGCTATATACTACTTCAGTGTGTATGTGTGCGCGCGAGCCAGAGACAGAGAGAGAGAGAGAAATTCTCTCTATCTCGCGTATACAGCGAACACTCACTTATGCACGTTGTAACTCAAAAAAAAAACTGCATCAACGAAACCTTCGCACTGTGTACACTCATCGGGGCGAGTCTCGTGTAAATAATACACTCAACTCAAAAAATATCAATTAAAAATAGAGCGCGTGCACACCTTGGAAAAACGATTATATATTTGGGAGTTTCGAACACTTAGGCCTGTGTGTCTACTCTCTGTGTGTGCGTGTGTGCACACGGCATAAGGTATATATTACAATCCGGGATCAAAACACAACAACGTCAACAACACAACACGGAGCACTGACTGGCACTGACACACGGGGCACGCGAGAATAGCAGCTAGCAGCAGCAGTAGGTAGAGAGCGGTGTAATGTATGTACCAGGTATTACATATAGGTGTGCGTGTGTATAAAATACACAACAATATCAACACAGTCTCGCACACAAGGTGGTAGTAATCGAGTATACGTATAACATGTACACGCGCAGACGTTCGCGGGCGACTATATACTACTACTGCTGCTGGCAGTAGTAGTAATAATACGTGTGCGAAAGAGCAGCAGCAGCAGCAAATACGCACCAACTGCGTTCATCGAACTCCATTCCTTCCTAAGGCAGCCGAGCAGTCGGGCCGAGTGTATATATAAGCGAGTATGCGAGAGAGTCGGCAGTACACTACACACGGCACACGAACTACGATACGCGACTCTAGTAGGCGCGTACACACACATATAGGTGTATATACCTACAAACTCGACTCGAGAACTGGATATATAGATATCGCGTACACACATATATACACTATCTCGAGCACACAGCACTAGGCAGAGAGCTAGGAATATTCGCACTCTCTTTTCTCTCTCTCTAGTGTTGACGACGACCATGCGAAATAAAAACTGCTGCCCGAGTTGTAAGCTCGTGCGTACACACACACTCACTAAACAGATCTTTTTATACAGATGTGTATTTTAAACTTATAAGTTCGACGTCTATCCTCCTCGAGCCGCAGAGTAACAAATAAATCGGAGCACTTGTAGAGCACGTTGCGAGAGAGAGCTATAGATATGAACCTACGTAACTATGATACTGTGCACTCCCTGTATACGCGTGCATATTTATAATATCCGTGTCCGTATATACTGGGTGCATCCGAGCAGAGGCTCGTCGCGAGAAGACACACGAGAGATACACACAACGAGTATATAATCGAAGGTGAAAAAGAGAAAGAGCGAGTTTATGTGCAGCGGCTCATCTGCACGCGCGCATGCATGCATGCGTGTGTATACGTGTGATATCGTGCCAATGGACTTGTGGATTATATATACAGTACCTATATAGATATGTTTCGTGTTACGTATATGTTATAAATATATAATATATATAGTCTCATGATTTTCGTGTGTTGTACTGTGTAGAGCGCACATACGGGCCGATCAACGGCGACTGTCATGGCTGCGCCAGTCGGTACTGGAATCAACCCTCTCCTGCGCCGCTGCTGATATAACCAACACACACACACATACACAGAATCACGCAGAGCATAAGTCGCAATTCGTGCGCCGTAGCCGCAGCACACCTATTCGTACACACATACACACACACTGCAGTCCGTATACCCCCACTCGCGAGCACACCAACACAACAACTGCAGCAGCGTGCACGATATCGCGCGGGCTCGCTGAACGGACTCGGACTCGAGTGAGTTCCCCTTCCGCGAATGCAGCAGTCGTCTATGAGGACAAACGTTGTTACCGATAAATCTATATGCCGTGTTGTCCGCCTTTTAGAGATGCACATGCAAGCCGCGATTTTCCACTGCGTCGTCTGCGCTGCCCCGCTTATAAACCCGCGCGCGCATTATGATTCATTTGCGGAAGATGTAACGATCGCGAAGTCGATGACGATGAAGAAAAATTTGAAAAAAAATCGTTCCTTTTTTTTACGAGAATGGAAGATTTGAATTTATAGAGATTCGACGTTCCATTGCCAACAACGATGCACAACGACTGTGGTGAATCATTTTGAGCGCGATGACGACGGAACGATTTTTATAAATAAAATCTTGCGTAGGTTGATCGATAGATTCGAGTTCGTTATTGATGATAACGTTCGAAAATCGATACACGAACGAACTCGGAGTTCAAGAGAAAAAACTTGTATTCGAAAAATTCGAATTTTTCCTACATCTGCAGTACTTCTTTAAAACGAACAAAGTAGAGTATTCGTTTCTCAAATTTTACCTTCAAAAAGTTATCGTTAATATAGCGAGCTTTTTACGTCGAAGATGCCGCGAACACAACTCAGTACTCACTGAAAACAACAACTTCGAAAAGCCGACGCAAAATTCGACGGACACTCCAACATGCAGCCGCTCGCGCGCTCGGTCGGCACTGTATAACAATAATACATTGGAGCAGCATCAACGCCAGCGCTCGAAACGTTCGAACGCCAAACTACCGCTGGAACGTTACGAACGCGCAGTCGGTGCGCGAAATCGAACGATCCGAGAAAGAGACGGAGCGAGAGAGAGAGAGAGAGAGAGAGAGAGTCGGGCCGGCGCACGCAAACTTTCGTCGTGAAGCTGCATCTCTCGGATTCTCGGGCCGCCGCAGCGGGCGCAGCGACTCCGCGGAGTAGTAGTATGCGTGCGTACTTCGGCGCCGCGCGACTAGCCTCCGCCGAGCCCGAGTGTACGCCGCCGTTTTAGTTCGGCCTCGCGGACGCGCGATGGCGCTTGCCGTCGGCGATGATGACCGGCCACTGCTGCTGCTGCTACTTTCGACGTTTATAACACGACGACGACGACGAGCGCAGCGTAGACGACGAGTTGTATCGCTGCTGCTCGGATCGCGTCTACCACCTCAACGTCTAAAGGTAATTCTTTGACCTTGTATGAAAGCAATCCTAAAGGGTCGATCCAAAATCTTTGTTGATTCGTGACTCTCGTGGCTGTCTGTCTTTCTAATATATGCATGAATTAAATGTCCCCATTCACAGTGCGACTGCACACGACTACGTGTGTACGTGTACGTGCGTGTGCATGTGTGTGCTCGCGACTTATAAAAATGGTTCATTGATGCATCGAACATTTTTTCTTCTCTGTCATTCAGCCACCGTGATTACATCGCCAAGATGACGACTTCCTCGGAGGAGATTCTGATGCAGGTCGAGAAGGTTAAGTACAAGAAGAGCGATGGCACGCTCTACGTCATGAGCGAGAGACTCGCTTGGATACTCGATGAGAAGGACACCGTGTCGCTCAGTCACAATTACGCTGATATCAAAAGTAAGTACAACGACGAAGAAAGTAAGTAAGCTGACTGTCACTCCATACGTCAACTACGCGTGCTGTTGTTGTTGTTCAAGGAACGAATATCCAAATGAATTTTATAATTTTTCAGCTCAAAAGATCTCGCCCGAAGGCAAGCCAAAGATTCAGCTCCAGGTTGTCATGCACGATGGATCGTCCTCGACTTTTCATTTTGTCAATCCGGATGGGCAAGAGGCACAGATCAGAGACAGAAATCTCATCAAGGAACTGCTGCAACAGCTACTGCCTAAATTTCAGAAGAAAGTCAACAAGGAATTGGAAGAAAAGAATAGGTAATTGAAACGTCTAATCATTGACACTGAGATGACATTTAAATGCACAAAGAAATTGAAAATAATATACTTTTTATTTTATCCACATTAGGTTACTGCAAGAAAATCCAACTTTGCTACAGCTTTACAAAGATTTAGTAATAACAGGCGTTATAACGTCAGAAGAATTTTGGGCTCAGCATGCTACTCAATATACAGAAGCAAGTAAAGCACCTCGTCAAGAAATTGGTGTAAACAGTGCCTTCTTAGTGAGTTTCACTTTTCTGATTAAATATAAATACTATGCAACACAAATTTTTACCGAAATTGAATGATTCTTTCTTAGGCTGATATTAAACCACAAACTGATGGTTGCAATGGATTAAAATATAATTTAACGATAGATATTATTAATTGTATATTCAAAACATACCCAGCTGTCAAAAAGAAGCATCAAGAAAATGTGCCTGCCAAAATGACAGAATCCGAGTTTTGGACAAAGTTTTTCCAATCTCATTATTTTCACAGAGATCGTATGAACCAAGGGACCAAAGATATTTTTACTGAATGTGCAAAGATTGATGATCAAGAGATGAAAAAAGATGTTCAAGCAGGAGTGAACGATCCTATGGTAGATATTACTGGCTTTGATGATATTAATATGGAAGAAATATACGTTGATACAAACAAGCCAGAAAAATCCACTGGAAACATAGTTCATCAAAATATGATTAAACGATTTAATCAACATAGTATTATGGTGATGAAAGCAAATATTGCTAAACAAACTGAGAATGAAAAGCCACATACTAATGGTTCTACTTCTCCCAAAAAAGCTAATAACAATAATGCAGATTCACATAATAGTTCTCCCCAGGCTAAGAAAGTAAGTAAAAAGTGTTGAAACTGGCCTCATTTTTTGAATCATTTTAACAAAAAAATTTTTTTCAGCGCCGTATACAAGAAAAATTAGTTTATGAGGATCTTGAATCAAATTTAGAAACTCAGAGGAATGAAGAACCTTTAGTTTTAGAACATGTTGATAGATATTTACATGGGCCGGTGTCAAATGTGGAAAATATTACAGATATGGAACACTTAAAATCTGCAGCAGCATTTATGGTGAGAGAAACAGAAAGGTGGTCCAGGGAAAATTTTTTGCCGAGGCAACCATCTTCATCGTTAGTGTACCCTCCTGCTGCTGTGGCAGCTTTAGGAGAGCTGACGCCAGGTGGATATCTAATGAAAGGTTTTCGTGAAGATAGTCTCAGCCGTAAGTACTTTTTACAGCTATAGTAAAGAATTTGAAAACAAATTTAAAAAAAAAATGTTATTTCCATTGCAGAAATGATACCTCATGAATTAGAACGAGACCTTGCAAGCGTTTACGTATGCACTTGTGAATTATTGAAGCATTTTTGGAGAGCTTTCCCAGCCACGACGCCACAGCTCGAAGAAAAAGTCATCAGAATGCACACGGCACTGCGAAATTTTCACAATGTCAAGCTAATGCCGTTCGAGGTAATGTAACGATAAACTAGATTACCACGTCATTGAAATATGTCACGCATCAATTTTTCACGCTCCCTTTTTCACGCTTCCTCGCAGGATCGCCTACAAAGAGAGTACTCGGTTGTGAGCCAGCACTTGACCGCTCACTTGAATCAACTGCTCAACGCTGCCTACAGAAAGTACATCGTCTTTCAGAACCGTAAAACTGAAAGATCGAGATAACCCACGGCCACTAGCACCGCAGCACCACAGTTTTACGACATGTAGTGATAGATCAAAAATTTATTATTCGTATATCAATTATGTCGCGATAAAGCGTCGATGCTCGATCGATGAAAAGCTGAAAACTTTTGTACGGTTTTTTTTATTGCACAATTCTACGCTGCATCGCTCGACTGAAAAGTTACTATTTTTTTTTTCTCTCTTTATAAACCGTTTATTATTATTACTTTTTGTTGGAATGGCGTTGAACGATTTAGTAATACTCAAATTTGCACGAGACGATAGTTTATTTTTTCCTGTAAAATTAAATTGTTATTAATTTAAGAGAAAAAAGAACTTTTAGTCTCGAAACAACGTCGAAATATCCAATCACCGCTCATCAAGCTGCGATATCACATATACATAGTTTTATTTTCGAATGAAACGTCTCCACCATCGCCTCTTTCAATTCTGCATCGAGGAAGTATTTTTTTTTTAACATAAGCTCTCTCGAAAGCTCGTTAATTAAATTTCTCGCATACACACATATTTTTGCAATCTCATTTGAATAAAAAAATAAAGAGCCAATGTGTACAGAAAAAACCTAATATAGTTTTTAACTTAACAAGCTTATAATACGAATATCCTCCTATACGATGCGCAAGCATTTAAAATCCCATTTGTCCAAATAAAATATCGATTCTAATCAAGAAAAATAGCGTTTTAAGCTTCGCCTTGGAAAAAAATGGCGCAAAGTATCTCATTTCGTTTCGCTCGCTCTGCATACAATGTTTTTTTTTTGTGTTGTTTCTGTTGTTGCCACTTTTCATCGCTGTTGTTCTCCTTCGCGCGCGGAGCCGGCGCTCGTACGTTCCTCGTGGCGTCTCTAACAAGATCCAATTAAAATTCTAGCGCCCGTGATATAGAAAAAAGATACCGTTCCTTGGCGCTTTTTCTTGCTTCCACTGTTTTTTTGTTGTTCCCTTTTTGGCCCATACACAAATATTGCGTGTATATAAAAGCTGCGTATCGAACGAGAATAAATCTTGATTTTATTGGTTTAACGTCGTGAACACGCTGTATGTGTGTGCGCATCATACAGACAAAGCCTATTAAAGGCTGCAAAATAAAAATTTTGACAAAATTAATTTATGTCTCGCATGTCGCTGGCTACTTCATCATCTCTTTCTCTTCAACGTATTACATATACCTACTTCCTATGGCAAATATGCACAGGCAATATAATAATCTCTCTCTCTCGCGCGGGCTCCGCCCAATTCGCGAAAAGGCAATAAAAACGTGACAGTGGATAGGACAGCGCAGGGCAGAGATCTCTCTTTTATAATACGATTTACGCGTTTTTGCACATAGAGACAATCCAGAATATAATAATACAACGAGAGTCGATTGCAAAATGATTCTTCGTGGTATTTTTCTGTATATTTCATGTATAACGAAGAAGTACGCGGACAACCACCCCCCAGATATATACACAGTCATTATTCCAGAATTGAAATTCCAATAAAATCTTTCTCGGTATAGTTAGGCACGGTTCGGCGCTTTCTACATCTCTCCGTCTCTGTCTCTTTATACGCGTTTTGTGTTCTCCGTGCACCCCTTTTTATCGGCTCACACGTGACTATGTGTGCGCGCGCGCGCGCGCGCGCCTTTTGTACATCTATATATATTATGTACCTTAAACAGGTCCCGAGGGAAATTTTGCACTCCACCGTGTTCGGTAGCGGTGTACGCTATACGGTAATAGTTATGTATATATGTACAGAGAGAGAGTCCCGATGCGCGTTTTAATTAAATAAGCAATCGTTTGCGCGTCAACAGTTTAAAATCGAGTACATAAATAAAAAGGCAACGAGCAGCCGAGCTGCGTACTGTATGTACACTTCCCCGTCGTCGTCGTCTCTAAAATTCGATCAATCCCGAATTATGATTCTCGTCTAGGTCGTTCACGAGAGGCCCCGAAAAAGTGAGTTAGGCACGATATTTAATAACATGAGAATTGCGCCGCTAAGGGGACACGTCTTAAGTATCGCATACGTACGAACGGTACAGCCCCCGATTGTATAAATACGATCAAAAGTGGGTATAGGTGAATCCCACAGACTCAAGAGTCTGTATCATCCCTCAGTCGCTGCTTCGTACACACACACCGGGCGGATTCTATTGATTCGGTGTCGTCCTCGTCCTCGTCCTCGACGACGTATCGTTACAATGCCCACGAATATATTCATCCCCATAGTAAAGCCAATCGTTGTATTATATATTCGCGCTCGATTCCTCCCTTATATATATTTTTTTTCTCACGGCGTATGCTAAAATTTCCCTGTGCGCCTCTCTCTTAGCGGCAAAAGTATAAGGGATCTCTTCGTCGTCGTGTGTGTATCTGTGTGCACGACGTGACGTCGTCGTCGTCGTCGTCGAAGCAATGAAGAAATCGCGCGTATGTTTAACACACCGTATCTGCGTAATTGTATCTATATCGAAAAACGTGTCGCACGAGGAGATGCTGCGGTTCTCAAGTTCAACGTTCCCTTTATTATCGCCGCTCGTATGCGTTCTCTTGCTCGTGTGCACGTCCTATCGATCGGACCGTGTAAGCCCGAAAAAAAAGATAGAGAGAGAGAGAAAGAGTCCAGTCGCGCGCGCGTGCATCTGCGCGGCCGAAAAAAGCCTCGAGAAGCAGATTTTTTACTTACTCTTACTCGCGTGTATTGTAATTATAGGATATGCGAAAAGAGGCGCGTGACTACGATCGCCCTGTGTGTGTGTGTGTGTATTTTTATATAAAAATCATCCTCACCGCGCGCAAACATTAAATGTTTCGACCCTTTACGCGCGGCACGAGATGTTTATCGCGCGACCTTATCTTCGAGCATCTTCATCGCGAAATTCGTGCGAAATAACATCACCGATCCGATCTCGTATTGTATTATGAACTTCGTAAATGTGTTGCAGCGGTAAAAGTAAATGAAAGGAGACTTTTATTATTTAGGCACGTATGTGACCGATGAAGAAGAAAAAAAATGAGGTGTAGAGGCACCTATACACGTGAGCATTACGAGGGATGCTTTGTTGTACATTATAATAACATAATCAAATTTTCGCCTGTACTTTATGTGTACCTGCATTAACTCTTATCAAAGTCCAGCGCCTGTCGCTGCGTGCGCTTTTAATCATAAAGTATGCGTGTATAAAGCTCGAGCCTTTTGAAACGAAACTTTTTTAAGTAAACTATAACAACGGAATCTTTGTTGGCGCGCGACGGTACAGAGAGTCTGTTCGCTTGTTTTCACTGCGCCTATTATCATAGAAACAGCCATAGTAACTTATACGGCTCGTCTTTTTATCTCACAACTGAAAAATGCAGGCCGATGACGTCCGAAACAGTTTAGAAAAATTAAAGACTAATGTTAGAGAAGAGGTCGATTGGGAAGTTGACGAAGAGCGAGAGGAATTTCTCGATCTCCGGGACATTTTCGTTCCCGAAAAGATCGAGCGACTTCTCTTGGATTCCGTGGCATACATGTCCGCGGAAACACTCGTCAACTTTGTGATCGCGACCGGCTATACAAAGACGAGCCGAAATTCGATGGGTCGCGTCGCGCCACACCGATATATCGCGCGGCTTGGCGCGAGTACCACGAAAACGTCCCCGAGCTTTTCAAGATCCACGACAGACTCGACGTGAATTACGTCGATGAGTCTGGATTGACGCATTTCCACGTGGCCTGTCAGTCTGGCTACCAAGAGGTAGTGGAGAAATTCTTGAAGCACGGCCAGGATCCCAACGTCGTTTAGCGAGAGACAGGCGATTCGCCGCTGCACTCGACCGTGAGCTACGATCGCAAGGAGGCGATGGAGATGCTGCTGCAGAGCGGAGCCGACCCGAATTTGGCTAACGTGGAGGAATCGACTCCTCTGCACGTCATCTGCAAGGGATACAGCGACGACGTGCGAGTCGATGCCTGAGACAAGTCGGGCAAGACACCGCTGCACCACGCGCTGTCCACTGGTCCAGTGTAAAGTCCGTCTTGGTGTTGCTGAACAACGGCGCGGATCCCAATCGAGCCGACGCGCGGGGATCGACTCCTCTGCACGTCATCTGCGATGGAGAGGTCGAGGACGCCGATGAATTGCTGAAGACATTCTTTGAGGTCTGCGACTCGAGACAGGGGAAAGAACATCGAGTCGTGCGGGTCGACGCTCGGGACAAGCTGTTATTTCGGCGTTTACTCCAAATTGGGCATAGCGTGCAGATTGCTGGCAGTCGTCGATCGTCTTGAGAGTTTGATTGAAGCCAAGCGCTAACGATCGTGAAGTATTGTTCACCCAGTACCGACTACCGACTGGTCTCGAATACGTCGTTGGATCTCGTTTGAAATTTGCGCAGCGACGAGTCGTGTTTTCGATCAAGGCGAAACAAATAACTATAAAGCCAGGCGTTACCCTCCGCGACTCGATCCGTTTACGACCCAAAGAACTGGCCGAAAAACGACTCACCTGCATGGACTACGCGTGGTTCACGCGTTCCAATCAATCACTGACGGAGCTGCCCGAAAGGTACTTCGCGGCGTGCGCCGCGCGCTTGTTCGAGACGCTACCGTGCAAATTTTTCCAAAGATGGGCGCTCTATCCTTTTTGAGAGATGATGGGTCATCGGCTGCCGTTTCTCTGCTACGAGAGAATCATCGAGCAGCGATCGTTGGTGAACGGAGATTTGTGTGATATTTTCTTGGCTGCAGGTCAAAGCTCGTGATTTCGACGTTTGACTTTTTATATTTTTCGCATTATAACGTTCAAATAAAAACTTTGAGAAAAAAAAACGTCGAATTCATTGATTCGCTCTGATTTTAATTCTAACATGTGTTATTTAATTTTTTTTTTGTATTTTTGACGCACGCACGAGACGCGGTGCAGACCCAGATCCACATTATAGAGGCAGCGTGTGTGTAGTCGACACCTATTTTTTTGCTCTCTTAGTTTCTCTCTCTCTCTTTCTCGGTCTCTCGGGCGCTATAACGCATGTATACACACAGCAGAGAGAGATACACATATACAGATCTCGACGTTTTTCTCTCTAGCGCCAAATAATAGAAAGCAACAGCAGGAGCGTCGGTAGCGCAGCTCGCCAAGAGAGAAAGAGCGAGAAGAAAGTTCACTGCTACACATCAAGGAGGGGTTGTGGTTTTGCTTGCTGCTGCCGCTGCTGCTGCTGTAGCCCAGCGCAACGATGATGTATAACGAGGGTAGAGACTTAGCTTTTCCTTATATACATTTTTTTTCTTTTCTTTTCGCTCCACTCCTCGAGAGAGAAAGAAAGAAGTATAATACGGGACGACGCGTCGTACGTATACGAGTATATACGTTTATGTGTGTACAGCGGCATTCGGGTCGTACACGATACATAATGCGAAGGTATGAGTCAAAAAGTGATTTCGACATATATATACACATTTTTCGGGGCTCTCTTTCTGTCTCTTTGTGTCGTGTGTGTGCGCTGCAGGATCAGGACCCGGTTCTATTTTTTTTCTCTCAACTCGTATTCCATATTTTCTTGTATACGTGATT